GAGATAACTTTGTGACATAACAATTAAACTGTTTACAGCCTGCGAAGGTATTTATTTATGCTTGCATTAATTTGAATGATCAGCAACTTCCATACGCAAAAAATACAAGCAGATGGATCAACCGAATTTATGGTCCCCATTTACCTCTAGAGTGTTTGTTCTTTAAATATGTTTGTTATGCTACTTCGTAGATTGGATTGCCTATTAAATCTAGGCAATCACATGACCACGTATGAAATCCACGCATGCCTGGTAGGCTAAGAGGAGGCATGCCTATAGTATGGTATCCAACCGGTCATGTGCCTTGTTAAGTTCCCTGTCTTCTCTCTTGTTCTTCCTCCTTCACGCACGCCTGCTCATAGCTCGCAATGCACGAAAGCTGCTTAGACAAGTTTGTGAGTGTTCATATGGTGGGCAACACCCAAAGAGTGCGATGGGGTTGTTTTAAGAATGCTCTACATGATGAATGTAAATTAAAATGTCCAAATGAAGCGACGTCAACTCGACAATTTCGTCGTGTTATATGAGCTGGCTATGGTGACGAGCTGACGTTCTGCGCGTAGTTGAATGCCTCTAGTGGTGAATACAAGCCAATTAATCGCCGTAAATGTCGCGCAGCAAAAGATTCGTATATATTTACACTAATTTGTACAATACACTCATACAGTTTAAACGAGCATATAATGAATGTGGCATTCATATTTTACCCTTTTCATGTAATCGTCACAAAATAAAAAAAACATGAGACGCGTTTTTTTATCATTGTTATGCTCAGCTTCAACATACGAAACCTATTTATGGTGAAATCGAACAATGGCAATGCAATCATTCGGAACAAAATGGCTTCGCGGCCGAAGCTATAACAAGACAGGTAGTGTGGCAATATTTTTGCACACTGAAGAAAAACCTAAGAAACGCTTTTATGTACAAGATTAAGCATGAGGTACAGGAAACTTCGTAAAACTGTTTTTTTAGTAAGACTTGTTTGATCCAACAAATGACTGTGCATGATATTGTGATGACTTTTGTGACATTATTTCGTAAATAAAGGCCGTGTCTTTGTTTACCAACGCAGTTAATGTTTGCCGGCACGCTATCGAGGAAAAATACGCATAATATACCTTGACTAAGGGGACTAGTTTGTTGCTTTAAACATGAGTACTTGAAGAAGTCAGACGTCACACCACTAAAATTGGACGAACAAGCGTAATATACAGAACAAAATGTGATTGAGAGTAAACTACAATACCTTGGACTTCCACGTACTACATTAGTATCGCACAGAATACTTAAGCCTAAGCAAGTGGATTGTTCCTTCATAAATGTCTCCATTCGTTTTCTTTACTACGCCTCGTTTCACACATGCGCAAACACTCGTGCACACAACATGAGCGGCGTAAGACCCGCATATCATATTTTCTCTTTGTCAACACTCTGAGTTAAAGACGTGAATGAAAGGCACTGATATATTTACACGATTGCTCAGTCCCAAAAAAGAAACGACCACACATACCAAGTCGGTGAGGAAAAAAAAGAGGGGCGCTGATACTCGATTATCGCAGAGGACAACCAAAGTGAGTCAAAACGTTCAACGAACGACAAGCGAATGACAGCACAGACTTGACAGTAACAATCACACCGCTCATCGAACAGTGAACATGACGATGAATGCGATCGCTGATGCCCGCAGTAGAATGGAGAGAGGCGTTCGTTGAGATGAGCTGCTTGAGTCAGCAACTGCAAATAAGCAAACAAGGGGCAAAACTCCTCATTGGTAGATACACAAGACAGATTTTGGCTGTAACATGAAACCCAGAGGTGATCAAGTATTAGTCTAACAAGGTTCTGTAGGAGGCTTTAACTAGCACTTCCACAAATCAAATTGTCGCCCGCAGCAGTGGTGTAGTGGTTGCGGTGCTTGGCTGCTGATGGGTTTGATCCCGACCGTGGTGGTCGCATTTCAATGGAAGCTAAATGTTAGAGACCATGTACTGTGGAATGTCACCGCTCGTTTAAGAAGTACAGATGGTCGAAATTTCCAGGGCCTTCCACTACGGCTTTCCTTATAATCATATCGTGCTTTTTAGGACGTAAAACTCCAGATATTAATAATAATAATAATCATCCGGAACTACTCGTCCGCAATTACGAGCTCGACTACAGCGTGCAGTAACGATCACATACAAATATCTACGACGTCAGGGGTTCACTCTTTCAATCGACAAATGCGCATAGCTTGCGTTCACGCGCAAGCATATGTCGAAATACCCAATATTCATTAATGGGACAGCAATACCTGCTGTAACGCACCACAAGTTCCTTGGGGTTGTCGTACACAGAGATCTATCGTGGACGAGGCATGTCGCAGCACCTAAATCTAAATTGAAGAGCTTTGCTCTCGTTCTTCGCCACGTAGCAGGAGCAAGATGGGGCCCGTCAGAATCATCGCTACTTCGATTGTACAATGCTCTATTTGTGGGATACATTCGATACAGCATGCCGGTGCTCTCCAATATGAGACCTAGTTGTGTGAAGACGTTAGAGAGTGTTCAAGCTCAATGCTTACGAAGATGCTTGGGTCTACCGCGCTGTACTTCAACAAATGGTACAATCGCAGAGGCTCGGGCTTGTCCCATCAGTGTATACATGCTCTGCGAGCCACTTAGAGTTCACCTCTGATTACTGAGCAGACACAGACAGCACCCACTGTCAGTACTACCCGCCACTCACCCAGATTGCAGTTTCTCAAGAGTAATATCGCGGCATGAAAACATTTCACCATCAAGGTTTTCTCCGCCAAATGCCCCTGCAGTGCCTCCATGGGTCCTGCCTAAACCACCTGTTTCTTTTACGATACCTGGAATCACGAAAAAGTCGCTCATTTCTTCTGTTGGCCTCAGACAGCTGACCCTATATCACATTTATACAACGTACAGTGATTCTCTGCACGTGTACACCAACGGATCCACCACGCTAAACACCTCCACCGCAGCCTTTGTCATCCCAGACATGGATATCGCTCGACGATTCAAAGTGGACCATAAAACCACATCAACTGCCGCAGAGCTTGTCGCTATCCGGGAGGCAATAAGATTTATTTCCGGAGAGCGACCTCGAGCCTGGACGATTTTCTGTGATGCCAAACCCGCTTTGCAAACCATTAATTGCATCATAAAGCAAGGTCCGTATTACAGCTTGGCAATAGAAATCACAGAACTTATTCAGGTTGCTTCAACAAATGGTCATCTTATAACTTTCCAGTGGATTCCCGCTCATTGCGGCGTGATGGGAAACGAAGAGGCAGACGCTGAAGCTAAAAATGCCTTAAGCAGTGCCCCTGAAGTACGCATAGCGTTTTCACGAACTGACACGAACGCCCTGCTTCGCTGCGTGATGCGCAGCTACACACTTCAGCACTGGACCAAACCGGAACGGCGACACCAGCGACTTCACAAATGGGACCCGGAAATGAGGTTCCGCATGCCCCCTAAATTGAAACGCCAACACACAAGTATGATCCCCAGCATTCGTCTTGGTGTAGCGTACACCAGACGTTACGCACATATCATCGGTCGCAGTGACACCGGTCCTAATTGTAAACACTGTGATGTGCCAGAAACACTTGAGCACATATTTTGTGTCTGCCCAGCATACGCACGTGAACGACAAACACTGATTTCTTCTACTGAACTATATCGCAGTAGGTCATTAACTGATGAGACCATGTTGGACCCTTGGCCAGACACCAAGAGTGCAACTGCGGTCACAAGAGCAGTTATAACCTTTTTGGAAACAACTGGACTATGTGCGCGGCTATGGATTTCAGCTAGAAAGAGCACTACATACTCACCTCTCTACCTCACCATCGTCATCCATTATTCTTTCTTTTCTCCTTTCCCTTCCCCCAGTGTAGAGTAGCAGGCTAGAGCAAGCTATCGCTCAGGCCGACCTCTCTGCCTTTCTGTAAATAAACTTACCTCCTCCTCTAATAATAATAATAATAATAATAATAATAATAATAATAATAATAATAATAATAATAATAATAATAATAATAATAATAATAATAATAATAATAATAATAAGATTATTATTATTATTATTATTATTATTATTATTATTATTATTATTATTATTATTATTATTATTATTATTATTATTGTTATTGTTGTTATTCATTTTGTCCTTGCGCGGGCTCTGGCAAAGATCTCTGACGCTAAAATTAAAGCCCTGGCTTCGTCAACACTACAACGGAGACAAAACCGAAGCTAATTTCTGAAAATCCAGGGTATAGCTGGGAGCCGACAGATGGAATCACATAGTGGGATGACCAGGGTGAACAGTGGAAGTGCCTCAGACAGGCTTGCTGACGTTTTGATAGGAGGACCTATCTTTGTCAAAGGCACCTTGTCATCCTTGGCGTGTTAGTTTTAAGGGGGTCAGTGGTGGCTTAAACTAACACGCCAAAGATTACAAGGTGCTTTTGACAAAGCCCCCTTTATGGAAACGTCGCCCAGCCTGTCTTAGGCACTTCCACTGTTCACCCTGATTATCCCAAGCTAACTTCTAGGGCTTTACGTGCCAACACCGAGATATGCGATCATGAGGCCTGCCATTGACGGATTATCCAGCCTGATTTAGAGACCTCCTCCCCCCAGGTTTCTCGAAAAAGCCCTTAAACATAAATACACAGTCGTTTTTCATTTAATTACATTTAAATGCGACTGCCGGCACAGGAAGTGAAGCGCACGACCTTATTCTCAGCATCGCGACGCGGAAACCGCTGAACCGCCGCAGCGGGTCACAGACTCCCCAATCAAAAATTTGGTTCCAGCCTCCTTTATTCGACAAGTGTTAATTTATGAATGGCAGTTTACAATAATTCAGAATTACAACATGCGAAAAATCCACAGGACAGTCTTTGACATTCATTGAATTAACATTGTTTTATCAGTAGGAGTGGTAGCAGTATTACGCCTGCTCGTAGAAATGAGGAAGATCTAGCCAGAACTGTCATCAGGGTAGGCACAGAGCCTGTCTGTAGAAATTGTGAAGTAAGAGATGAAAGAACAGTCAGTGGAAAACAGGACAAAGTACTTTTTGTACGCATAAATGAACGTAAATTATCTTTCACGTTTCTTGACGCTCGCGGCTCACTTCTCACCAGCCACGTCCTGGCTTAAGCTGTCGACTCGCAATAGTATCGTATTTATGTAGAACTATGTTCGGGTTTCGGGAGCTCTACGATTACACGCAGCGTGCTTATACGTACCAGCGCCGTAGTGTCCCGGGACGTGAAGTCCAGACGACCGGTGGCTGCTGCCCAGCACAAACTCCTTCTCCGAGTAGGCATCGCCCGGCGACGAGGACGATGTTGAGGGTGGACCCCTACCACCGTTCTGAAGCGTCGCCGTGCACTTGATGCGCATCTCGTCGTGCACGAAGTGGCTAGGCCTCACCGTGAACCGGAGACCGAGCGACGTCACCTGGCGGCCAGAGTCGAACCGCTGCATCGGGTAGTGCACCAGGTACCGGTTCGACACCTGCACGCAGAGTTAGAAGGTTGCGGGAGGGGAGGATTTCTTATTACTCAGATTCTGCGCATTGGTCGAGAACTTATTACACCTCATAATTACAGTACCTACATATGAATCTCGAAATCTTTGAATTACGAAAATGACATCTAGAGACAGTAAGTGGCGTCCGTTTTTGCGCGCATCGACAACAGCCAAATATCCGTGGACACTGTTCTTTCAAATGCCCGAGAGAAGACATTGCAACAGAAGGCGACAAAAGCACTGTTGAAATTCCTACGCGACACGGACTTGAACAAGCGGCTGTAACAGCAATGTCGCACACCACGAAATACAAGAATGAACTATGAGTGTGCGCGCGTTGCTGCTTAGTGTGCTGTGTTAATATCTCTTCCCTCTCTCCTTCCTAACTTTCATCTCCATCCTCCCTCTCCCATGCGCAGGGTAACAAACCGGCTGCCTATAGACTGGTTAACCTCCCTGACGTTGTTTTCCTCCTATTTTTTTCCCTTGAATTACGGAAGGCAACGGACTTGCACGAAGCGTTTAGACCAACGGCAGTGTGACTATGCCGTGTTTGACTGCTTGCGGGCGCCCCACACCCTCTCTCGCTTTCTGTCCACATGCGTGAACACGGGGTTTAGCTGAAGCTGAGGTTCCGACAAACGGGCTGGTTTTCTTTAATGCTGCCATTCGAGGAGGAATTTTGAGTTGCAGCCTTGAAGAAGACAAGCCTGCTAGTCGAAATGTCGGTCGCAGTGACACCGTGTGACTTTCTATTCTTGACGCTTCCAACTTTTCGCACACCACTTGCTGGTGACGTGGTCGTAGCTCTGAAAGGAAAACCTACGCAATCAAAACTACATGCCTCTTTGTCATTGAGGTGCCACTGCAGGTCTACGGGGCGCCCGTATCGCGAGTAACTGCAGGTGACGTTCACGAGGTCGCCCACGTGGTAGCTCGCCTGTCCACCTGTTATGGAAGGCTTGTCGTCATCTGTCCCTGCAGGAAAGCACACAACGATGCCTCTTATTTATTCAATTGCATTCGTTTCTTCAATGTATTTAAAAACAAGCGTGTTACGAAACCTTATGGTCAATTGCACTTCTAGCCGCAAAGTGGCCTATCTTCTGTTGGCAGTATTCTGTGACCCCAAGGCGACCCTTCAATGTACGCGAAGTCTACGACGCGGGAACTACCGTCAGATGGTATCTCAAATGAAAGAAATCTGTCATCGCGCCACTTACAAGGGATATGACATAATATCTAAATGGCTGCCTGGTCACTGTGGGATTGGTGGTAGCCACCTAGCCGACAACGCTGCCCGTTGTCCCCACGACGGAGCACCCGCACTGCTAATACCACTGTCAATAAGGGTCGATGCCACAAAACAACTTCGCCACATCGCACATAATACCACCCTTATGCATTGGAATCGTCCACTGAATTCCACTGGACGTCCACAGAACCTCGCTTCGTTGCTCCAATTACAGGTGCTATCAAAGGCTTCGCGACGGGATTCTACAATGCTCCGTCGGTTGTGGGTCGGCGTTGCCTTTACGAATTCATTAAGTTATCGCATTGGTATGGCTGAATACTTCAACTGTGATAACTGCCATTGTGTATAAACGCTCGACCATGTCCTGTGCCATTGTCCAGACTTTGAAGAAGATCGCCGGACTATCCAGTGTGCCTTAAGGAGGCTGGACGATCGACCCTTTACTCGGGAAAAGATCTTGGGAGCATGGCCTTCAAGTACCTCAGCCCAGAAAGCCACACGAACCCTTCTAAAATTCTTGAGGGCAACATTACTGTGCGACCACCTGTGAAACCTGAACTGCGTGTGCGGTGTGTGTGTGTGTGGTAAGTGCTATGTGTATATCTCCCTCTCTCTCTTTTTCTTTCTCATTCCCCTCTCTCCCGTGTAGGGTAGCAAATTGCACTTAGTCTAGTTGACCTTCCTACCTTTCTGATATTTCTCCCTCTCTCTTCATTTGAATATCATCGTCATGTTCATAGCCAGCATTGTCATGAGAGAGTATATAGTGTGCTGGTGCCAATTGACGCACAATCGCTTACTCTAAACATATAAATTAAAAGATGGAGTATGCCTACCATAGTAAGGGATTTGTTTGGCGAGTAGGAGACCTCAATTAAGAATTTTCGGACATGACTGAAAAGTAGCCATTTTCAATTAAGGGGTAATCTTGTATAAGTACTGCTAAAGTGGCGGGCACTGAAGCTGCGAGTCAAGCATGAACAGGCTGTCAGAGTACCTGTTCTAGATCGTATAAAGTTTGACACAACGCGAACAGTGATGAATATTAATTACTACGTTCAGTAGGGTGTCTACACGCATCACTGCATTATAAAGCTTCAGGAGAAGCCAAGCGCATGCCTAAAGGTTCAGTAAGAATGTTTACAATACAAACATAATCAACATACGTTTATTATATTCAAGAGTGCATTTTTTATTGTGTAGTTATGCGAATAAAATTTCTGTCACAAGTTACTCCAAGCACACCTGAGTTCTTGGCGTCTTGCGCTGCGACGATCTCCTCGCTGGAGAGAGAATAAGCCTCGGAAACGGTCGCAGTGCACTTCAGTTTCATAATGCCGTAGCTGAAATGCCGTGGCTCGGCCGTGAAAGTGATTCCCAGGGAAGAGTGGAACAGCTGATCCCGGTCGCGGAAGATCGGGTACATCTTCTCGTACTGCGGGGGAACCTGCGACATTCAAAGCCCTCGTCAAGGCTTGCGAGTACACATATAATTCAGAATTTTTTTTTCGGGATAATGATAGTAATTACCCAACTTTTTAGGAAAAAAACACACGTGAAAGAAGTTGGGTTATATAACGGAGTGTATGGATATGCAGGAATATATTTCCCACAACAATATTTATGCTGATAGTTCTGGTATCTATAGTATCCGTTTCGCGGAAAGTATTTGCTTCTGACCTCCCATTTAAATACATAAATATTGAGAAATAATAATTTCTCTGGGAACCACTCCAATAGGTTCTCTGAATCGAATCGCATTAAATAACCTAAATTTTAATGTCTGTAGGGGGAACGCTTTTTCATCTATGCAGCCATACATTACGATAATTAGTATCGACAAGCTGAAAGAAATCAAAGTGTTCATAACGCTGTAACTCAGTAATTAAATCTGATGCCGCTATTTTGTAAACTGCTTCCTGTAGTGCTTGTAGTAGGTTTAGGCCACGAGCTTGCATGTGGAAATAAGACAGTATAGAAACCAGCACCACCTCCTCTCTCTCTCTCTCTCTCTTAGGATCCACCACTGGATCTCACGGGAAACTAATAACTATGGGAGTGGCAGCAAGCTGACTGACCTCTTCGCCGTTAATGTACCACGTGAGCACAGCTGGTGGCTTCGTCGCACCCGCGTGGCAGGTAACGTTGACCAAGTCACCAACCTTGTAATGGGGCTTGGTGCCGCGGATCTCGGGGCCCTTTTTAGGAAGAACTGCAACGAGGCACGACAGAAAAGTGCGTTCTGATGTTATTATAGCAGAAAGAATAACACACACGTAAGGTGACTTCCTTCTAATAAGCATTCTTATATTCAATGTTGTAAGCACCGTTCATGCTCGCGAAAAATAGAAGAGCACATAAAAGACCGATAAAAGCACACGAATCTCAGGGGCAGTGAAGCAGGTGGATACGAATTACGTTTAGGAGCACTATATTATCGTTTATATGTGCGTGAAGATGAATGCCAGCCGGAGTATGTAGTACTACTTGGTATAATTATATACGGAAATTCATGACGATTGTCAAGAACTAAACATTATTCAGCTTTAATTAAATGCAGTTCGCATTAATAATGATGAAATGATGATAATTATGGGTGCGAGGCTCACATGTGGCGTAAGATCTCTATGACTTTTGTTTTTTGTATTCGCTTAGTTATCAAAAGCCGAACGCCCGCAAGGAAGCGGACAGCTAAGTAGGCGGGGCTCTGCCCCTTTATATCACCTCCAAAAATTATGCCTTCCAGCCTAAGCGTTCGAAGTACTTCTCTCAGGTAGTATTGGGTGTACTTTGTTCTAACGCGTTTATAGTGTTTTCATCGGACAATCCGGGAGAGCAGTGCAGCTGCGACAAAATAGTGCTCTCATCTAGCCGTGAAAGGGCGCTGAGGTTTTCGACTTAGTGCGGGAGAACGGCTAGACCTTCGACCGCATAATGGCAGCACTGAAGGCAACCCAACAATGAAGTTTGCGGGCTCATTCATTTGAGTTTTTTTTTTTCTCGTATTTCTGCAGATATATACTGTTTTCAGCCAACAAACGCTAGAGGGCTCTGGTTCTTTCCATGCAAAAGAAGTATCACATGAAAAAGGCGGATTTTCATGCTCGTTTTTTATCTACAGAAGACGAGTAAGGAATCGACGAGCTTTTTTCGTTAGACACCCCGATATATGATGCCCACAGATAATGATATTCTTACGCACGCACGCACTCACACACAACATACACACACACGCACGCACGGATGACGAACGACACGTATCCCGATCTCTAACTGCCATTCCTTCCCGGTATAGACGTGTACGCGACCACCTTCATCATCATCATCATGACTACGTTAACTGCAGGACAAAGGCGTCTCCCATGTTCCGCCAGTCAACTCGTTCCTGTGCTTGCTGCTGCGTGTACGCTGTGCCGCACGAAAAGCTGAAATGCAAATGCCCTTCGTGTCCTATCTTGGTTTCCATCTACATCAAAATTTCGCTCACTCCTAGCGTTGCTTTCTCGCTCACAACCAGAGACTTCGAGGCTGACGCCAACATTTCCCCTAAATGAGCTCATTAAGGCTGCCGCGTCGAAAGAGCTCGTATGTTGCTTTGTCATGCAATCTGCACATATATTTACATGTGATTCGGCAGTTGAAATTTTGAAATATGTATTGCGATAACCAGCTATAATGTAGCATCAACCTTCCCGTACGTTGGAAACTATTAGGCAACAACAACCGACAGTTTCCCGTAAGCTTTCTCTATTGCATCAGCTAGGTTTGGGGCTTCAAACTCTGTGGCGGTGTTGCTCACCATTTCGACATTTTAATGACATGCATGGTAATCGTCAACGCGGCCGCTTCCTCTTGCTGCATTTGCCAATAGTTTTACGCGTGGCTGAGGACATGCACAGTACCAGAACCTCGAGCTTGGCGGTTCGGTGTTTCTTCGTTCAACAAAAAAGGAAACCTAATCTCGATGGCAGCTAAGCAAACGACACAAGCCCGAGTTCTACTTATGGCTAATTTTGCCTATAAAGCACACATCATACAACAAACAAATAACAAACTTCCGCTGTCAAACAGCAGCTGCCTCACGTGCTGTGTCGTTACATGTGGCAACAGCTCCCGAACACCGTGCGAGGATATCAAGCGGAAAGCCAAAGCTTGCTACAGCACTGTCGATGCAGCGGCTCTTCGAGCGAAATTGACACTTCCCTTTGCACCTCGTCGGTGAGTGACAAGATTACACTTCGTCGCCAGGCGGTTTTCGCCAGCGTTTGCTTCTTTTACACACGGTGATCACGCTCCAAGGCTATTGCCCCGATAGACCATGAAACAAGAAAAAATAGCCCTGCAGTTTTCAACGTACAACGAGTGTAGGAGGGATTTTCATCACCTCGTAAAATGCCGACGCTCCGTCCTTCGCGTTAAATCCTTTAGGAGAAGTCTTAGGAACACCCGCAGAAGCTTTACGAGGCTGGCGATGGGCTACCTGCAGTTCCTTCTTAGTTCGTACGGGAAGTGCATTTTATCAATAACGTCTTCAAGTTTCCAAGCTACACGAGCCGATGTCCGTGCTTAAGGCATGTCGTCATCGCATGAAGTGGATTTTCAGATCCGTGCACACCTATAGACAGCTGTCTACAATGTTTAAGCATAACATGAGCCGGTCGGACCGTTACCTGCTTTAGGGCGTTGGCGCAACGAGAAGCTGGAGGGCCTCCAATCGATCTTTGTGTTTCTTGTTGCGGTAGCCGCTTTTCGATGCAAGAGCGAGACGTAGCAGCATACTTTTGCGCTGAGACGTACTTCACGTGGCACGCTATGTGAAATTTTGTTTTGGAAGAAGGGACTGTGAGAGAACTGGAGGAAATAAATTGAAGCAACAAAAGCAAGTTTGGCCTTGTGGTGAACTGCTCTGTGATTGCACCAAACATCGTTTTTTTTTGCCAATATGTCTTCTTTTATATTTTGTGCATCTGTACCTATAAATTGCCTACTCTTCCGTTGTGCATGAGAAGGGTGGATACGCCTGTTCTTGCTCGAGGCATGCAACTAAATGAAACGTAGATAGGGAACGGAACTTTCTTTTTCCAATAAAGTTCTTGCGTGAAAAATCACAGCACATTCACGAAGTGAATGATCGTGAGTGGGCGAAGCTGTGGGAGATCAATAACTACCGCACATCGCCCACTCTATCATGCGAAATGTGACAACACGTGTGCACAGTATATAGAGAGCTGCTTTCAATCGCAATACGCATTAGTGTTGAGGTGCCCATATGGATATTCATATAGATATCCATATAAATATCTATATGGCTGTCCATGTGGATATGGACACTTATATGGATATTGATATCCATACCATGTCACACTTGACAGTGGACATGGCTCGACCCTAAGGACCTTCGCCCCTAAAAAGACAGCGAAGTGTGGAGTACACATGGCTCATATTTGAAAGCATTGCTATGTAGTGCTTCATCTGTAAAGTAAAAGGTAAATTGATTGATTGATGTGTGGGGTTTAACGTCCCAAAACCACTATATGATTATGAGAGACGCCGTAGTGGAGGGCTCCGGAAATTTAGACCACCTGGGGTTCTTTAACGTGCACCCAAATCTGAGCACACGGGCCTACAACATTTCCGCCTCCATCGGAAATGCAGCCGCTGCAGCCGGGATTCGAACCCGCGCCCTGCGGGTCAGCAGCCGAGTACCTTAGCCACTAGACCACCGCGGCGGGGCAGTAAAAGGTAAATTACATAAGAGGTTTGTTCTGTTTTACATGTAAGAGCGTTTTCACGTACCAGGAAATTTGCACGGTTAAAAAAAAATGAAGTGACATTGCTTGCAAGGTAAGCTTTGTGAGTGTTCCTACTTTCAACTAACGTCTCGAAATTCTTCTTTCATGACTTATTGCCCAAGTGTTCGCACGGATGTGATTTCGCCCCATCCGGTGTATGCCACAATCTCGGTGATTTGTAGCCAAGTGTTTGAGATAAGTGCACGTGGTTGGGTGATGTGTTGCAGGCAGCCCATGGTCAAAAGAGCTATGGTTGTACCTTACGCATGTTCATAAGGTAGCGCCAAACATTAAGAACGCGGCGATCAGGTACATCGTGCCTGTAGTTTTACAGGGTCACGTAAGTTGGCCAGTCCATGTATACCTTTAAGCCGACGAGGGCTATCAGTTGTGGGAAGAAACACGCTTCGACGTATGTGGATTGCTTGGTGGGCGTGGTGAAATCCCACTTAGTTGTGGTCGGGTTTACATCGATCAAACTGGCCTGTGTTTGAGCGCGTCAGAGTTAGGGAACATGAGCTGTCACTTCGATGTATTTAGGAAGCTCATTTGCCTGCACATTGTCATTCCTTTTCTTGTGAGGCGAGGTTCTCAAATGTTTCTGTTCTTGCCAAGAGCTCAGACGCTCTGGCCCGGTGAATAATGGAAGCGTTTTGGAAAGAGAAGGAAGGTGATTGGTGTATGAGCGACACGTCCGTGGTTTTGCGCACGTCTGAGTTCAAATTTCGCTCTTCGTGGCTTGACTAGATACGCCTTTCCAATGACATTGTGTTTTAATCCGTAGTGATTACGTGAATAAGTGATGTTTGCAGATGTGTGGTGCGATGTATATGTTTTTTTGACGTTTATACTGCAAATAAATGAATTGCAAGGAAAATATGTCGTCTTCCTTTGCGATTCTTCATTCTTCCTGTGCTGTTTTAGGTGTATAAAATTTTCCCTCATCCTTTTAATGAACAAGAATGCAGTCACTGCCGCCACTGACCAAATCGGCCTCAACAACAACAACAACAACAACAACAACAACAACAACAACAACAACAACAACAACAACAACAACAACAACAACAACAACAACAACAACAACAACAACAACAACAACAACAACAACAACGACGACGACGACGACGACGACGACGACGACAACAACAACAAAAGTCAGAGTAAATTCGGGATGTTATCAAGAGATACACTTGGGTCTCGAAGTGTCCCTGTTGTTAGTTTTTTTTTCTTGCTACATTAACTTTGTCGGTGAATGCCACTTAGCCAACATACTTAATCATATAGTCTCTCATGAAAGAATTAAGGGCGCCGCATCGCGAGTTGGCTTGATTAGTCGGCTTGATTAGTCGGCTTGATTAGCCGGCTCGATCAGTCGTCCGCTTGATTCGACGCTACTCTATACGTTTCACATTTAGCTGGCCTGTGGATTCGACCACCGAGCGCTTGCGAAGAACGCAACTCGATGGAGATGGCAAACGAAAATAAACCTATTAATTAGAAATATAATACCACTCACCGTACACTTTGAGCTCTTTTTCGGAGCGCACCGTTTGAAAAGAAGGCGCATCAGCGGACACCTCGCACGCGTAGAGGCCCTCCGACTTCAGGTCCGTCTCCTTGAGGTACAGACTCCCCACGGAGCTCCGGCTCGTCTGCGCGGGAAAATCGAAACACAAAAATAAGCGCTGATGTTTCTCAACATTTTCATGTATTTAATAATATTTAATAATGAACGAAGTTCAGTCTGAAGAGCTTGAGCAATAAACCTTCCCTTGCGGCTGTCCCACGTTCTTTTATATATATAAAAAGAAACGATTAACCTATTTTTATAAAAAAAGCGCTGAGTTCATAGCAGTCACCATTCTGACCCTCAACTTCGCCAACAACACTTGCTGAAATGACGCCTCCAGCAACATCCCACGTTCAAAGATTTTTCCAACTCGTCAATCCCGCATATTCCTCTCCACTTCTGTCTTGATCAGCTTTTTTCACAGAATTATGTTAAGTCTATCTGTCCTCATGTTGAAAGCTGTGTTTATTTTTACTTCGCATTTCAACCCAGTCATCCGGAAAAGTGTGCGTGACCCATTCGCTATGCCATCATCTCCAGCTCTCATTTTCCAACATAATTATTCTTACTGCAACAACTTGCAGTGCTGCAAAAAAAAAAGAAAGAAAGAAAAAGATTAGTTACATTGATTTTTTCTGGGACTCGAACAGCAATTTTCCCTTCTTTGGTGTTCTAAGCATTGTATTCAGTAATCTAGTAGGCAACGACCTTTCACAAGTATCGTTTCCAGCTGTAAAATCGATTATCATTTTGAAATTAGGACAACCGACCATGCATTTGTCTCACTTGCTCTGGCGACGACAGGCGTGCTTGAGCAAGCGCGGTTTTAGGGTCAAGAAAAGGAGAACAGGGGAGAAACGACCAAATAACCAGTGTGTCAGCCGAGACAGGCAATTAAAGCTGGACAGCTGCGTTAGACGGGCGTTTAGCCAGTGTCCTTGAGGTAGCGCAATGCTGGTTCATTGGAAAGATTGGACGCCATTAGGGGTAACTTCAGCGAGCCGTTATAAATGCGCGCACGAGAACTTTACAGTCGTTAACCCTTTCCACTCACGCTTACGACAGATGCCTCTTTGCTTGTCCTTTAAGCGGAAAAATTATTTCGAAAAAATGATATGAGCTCATCTTGGAAAGCATTCGCCTCGTGGCGCAAAGCGAAATTAGAGATGAGTGAGTAGGCGAAGAGCCGCTGTTTGCGGTAATTATGTGCTCAAAGAGTGGGTTGATTAAGACACTCGTGCCGTCCATCATTAAGTGTTTGAGCAGTTCAGATAAATTTTAAATAATTAAATAGGAACTCCTCAACGCCAATTATGCTTGAGTCTGTAGTTATTTGGTCACTGCGATGCAAAGGGGTGCCTTTAGAGACGTTTCACGGAAGCGAGTGACACAGTTGAGCGTCATAAACGCGTTAGTAGTCTATTGTGTCTTTTTGAGTGGAATGCCCATGTCTGAATGCTGAATCCACACACCGTGGGCTTATTTTTGTTCCTTCTTTTTATCTTCAGTGTGAGTTCATAGATCACTTGTTTGTACTCCAATGTTTCTCTTTAGCGGCAATTCTTAGTACACTCACGTCGTCATTACGCCTGCACTGTAGCATTTCGCAAGTCGCATGTGCTTCGGCGCCGGGACAGCTACCACTGTCTCTTTTATCTAATATTATCAGTTCTTTTTGCCTCGACAGATTTTAGTCAGAAAAACCTTTTCTCTCACGCTGTAGTGCACTAAAATGCAAAGGAGTACACCAGCGTCACAGAGGCATGCACGCAAGTACATTCATGAAATTTCCAGGCCGTCACAGCAAAAAATAAAAAAATCAACAAATAATAAGTGCACTTCACTCCCAAACCTTAATACTCCTCGTAAAATACCAAGAAACGGCCACGCCCATGTCTTATCTTCGACGCGAGCCCAGCCCTCGACGCATCACATGTCTACGTTCTTCTGGGCACTTTTCTAAGAGCAAGTTTCCTGACACTATGCAAATGTAAGAGCGAAAAAAAAACAAAAAAACAAGCTGGTAGATATACAACGCGACGATCCAGTGAAGACAGCATCAAAGAGCAAAAAAAAAAAAATAAGAAGGAAAAGAAAGAAAGAAAAAAAAAGCAGCCATGCTACATCACTGTTGTTGGTGTATGGACTATAGGGGAAGGGGGGGGGGCGAATACGCAGGCCGAGATAAAAGAACGGCAGCGCAGCACTCTCGGAAATGGCTCAACAATTCACCGCGGTGAGGTGTATAAGTGCAGTGCTCTCAGAGGGGGCCTCCGTTGGGCCACAACTACACGAGGCATCGCTGAATACAAAACGCACTCGCGCTGGCCAAGCAAGAAAGCCGTAGGATGTTCACGCCTTTTCTCATTTCGCGTTTCACGAGACTCGCAAGCTCGACCCTAGTAAAGGTAAATGGAAGGGGTGGGGGGAGTGGGTGGAACACTTGCCTTCTGATCTTGCCTATATAGTTTCCGCGAGGGGCTTCGGCACTGAGAAGAAAGTGACTCTCTTTTCGCCACACTCCGAACCCCTCGAATGCTCGGAAGAGATTCAGACTCTGCTCGGGACCGGGCCAGGCGCTCGCATGCGTGGGGGTTCAGAACAAAGGCGCGCGACGAGCCATTCGCTACACGCGAGCGAGTAGCGAGTCGGGACGCGAAGGCGCCGAGACCAATGGTTTAGTCCCAGTGGAATCTCGCTGTCATCGTCTAAAGTGAGGAGCGTCAGAGAGAGAGAGAGAGAGAGAGAGAGAGAGAAACGCTTACCACTTGCCGACGGCTAGCCCATCGTAGATGGCGTGCCTGGTATAGTCACGTTCTTTCTTTCTTTCTTTCTTTCTTTCTTTCTTTCTTTCTTTCTTTCTTTCTTTCTTTCTTTCTTTCTTTCTTTCTTTCTTTCTTTCTTTCTTTCTTTCTTTCTTTCTTTTTTTTCTTTCTTTCTTCTTTCTTCTTCCTTTCTTTTGTTCTTTCTTTCTTTCTTCCTTTCTTTCTTCCTTTCTTTCTTTCTTTTTTTCTCTCTTTATTTCTTTCTTTCCTTCTTTCTTTCTTTCTCTCTTTCTTTTTTTATATCCTTTTTTCTTTCCTTTCTTTCTTTTTTTCATATGTCGATCAAACACCCCAACACTAAATATTTCAGTGAAGCGCCCATGGCAAATACACTGCTCCGATCGCTGTTTTGCATCGTCCGCAAAACACGTTCGTATGATGCAAAACACATTCGGGTGGGTCAGTGGAGTGCGAGGCAAAAGGAAGCGCAGTAGCCGAGCCATGCCACGCTTGCTTCATCGGAGCACATTGCTGTGCCCCCACTTGAACGAGGGTGTCGTTGCTGTCGATTGGGCAGAGGCCTTATTTGGAAAAACGGTCGCACGCTTCGCCGTGGACACGAAACGAGCGGGCGAGCGGCCCACTCGGTAAAACGCTGGCGTTTGCAGCGTGCCATGCATGCGCAGTTGACGTCTCCACTCGTTCGCTGGGGCCGCTTAGAATACTCCATGGTCACATTATATGCGTCGAGAAACTTGGAACGAGAAGTGTCGGAAACCTACTGCCACAGGCATCAAAGCCCGCCGGCGATTGAAGCTCAATTAGGTGAGGAGGGGTAGAACAAACAAAATCAAGAACTCAATGTATCTTTTTTTTTTCATACGGTCGTAATTTCATATATGCCAAAGTTAGCTACAAAATTACTTTACAGTTTATCTCACACTTAGGTAAATGGTTGATTGTGTCATTTTTTGACCGAGTGCCACAAAGGGGGGGGGGGGCGGTATACAGGCAATCTACTATCAGGGCTTGTTTTTATTTCGGCGCATTGCCGGGTGAACGATGATGATATGTGGTGTTTAACGTCGATGGGATCAAACCGACACCTGGCATCACAGTCGCAAACTCGCAGATCCAACCCTCTACGCTTCCCCCCCCCCAAAAAAAAAAAGTGGGAATCAAGTAGCTAGGAGCTTGTTTTCCTTGTGCGAATCGTAGAGAAAGGCATATCTGACGTCACCATTTCTTATGAGGTGCTGCATTGCGATGGCAATGACGGTTTCTGTCAGCAAGGCTTGTGTTGACCGTCTTTGACGGAGATTTCGACTAAAATTGTGCTGTAGTGCACAAATAAAGTTTCTTTATAACAAGACCTTCGTAAACAGATCCCATTCGAAGGCACTGAATAGGTTGCACTGGGAAAGAGTACAATACTTAAATGTTTTATGTTCCCCCAGCCCAGCACACATGCATATATATATATATATATAATATATATATATATATATATATATATAATATATATATATATATATATATATATATATATATATATATATATATATATAGTCCAGTAGATCCTCCGTGAGCGGTCACAACGTGGTTTATTTCGACGTTTCGGCCTAGAGCCTAGCCTTCATCAGGATGATATGCTCGTTCCATGCAATAGCAAGTGCATTAAGCAGCATCAACTCACTTTAGGCGGTTTTTTTTTGTCCAACACATCCATTCTTTTTAATAAGTGCAGTGTATCGAACCGGACGCTCGCAGGTTTCATCTCAAGGCTCCTTTTTCTTTTCTTTCTAGCTCTGTCACAATTCCACCGCATCACCTCACCACTTTGTTCTGTGACTCCAAACTTTTTTGTGTGGCTCTTGATATGTAAATTTCGCAGCCTCGCTTCTTCAGGCGCGCTTTTCATGCGACGTATTCTTGTTAAAATCCGACCGGCAAAGAGGCTAAACAGAGCGCCTAGTAACAAAACCCATGTTGCCACATGCGATTCTCGACAAGAAACAGGCCTGAAGCCCAGAAAAAAGAAAAAAAATCAAATTCAAAGGAAAGTCGAAATGCGAGAGAAAGAAAAACAGAAAATTTACGCCTGCGCACACTGAGACGCGTGGCGCTCCGAAAAATGACACACCCGAAAAGGATGCGTGCCGGCTCTTTTGACCTTTGTATTTCTTCGAAAAATGTGTCATGCATACTTGTGGAAAGAACACGAAAGTAAGGCTTTTAAACTATGGCGGTCGTTATTGAAGGGGACAAAGAAAGTGCACGAGAGCACACTGAAGTGAAGCAAAAAATTAAACTCGTA